TTCAGCAGGCTTTAAAAGGTGAGAAAACAATGTAACGGTGAACTGAATTTCTATGGATTCAATTTCTTCTGAGAAATGCGAGAGAAACCCTGATTCTTGATTTACTGCCAAAGAAAAGTCTGTTTGATCGATTTCTGAGCCAATCTTAAAAATCAGAGAAAACCCTAGGGTTGTGATTTTCTTGTGAAAAAGAGAGGGCAAATTTTGGGGTACAACAGACATATATCAATTATTTTGCTAACCTTTTCGCTTTCATAGACTACTCGAAAACCTCCATCAACACCAAGAAAAAGAAAAGAAGTTCAACCTCCACATGTTCTAGTCAAATTAGATCCTAAAGACTTATCCCCTTATACAACGAAACCAGCCAAGAAGAAGAAGTTGAAAATTACTGACTTCATCCCTGAAAAAAATGTTGCGTCCAAGCAAGCTAAGTCTAGTGCTCATAGAGCATTAAACATCGACCCTAAATCAATTGCATATATTTTTGATCAGGTAGAAAGTGATAATTCTAGCCCTGGGGCTGGAGGACTTAAGGTGTTTTGTCTTTACGTTTACTTTACTTTCGTCATATCTTATTATTTTCGATTGATATGGATTTCTTTTTCGCAGGGTGATCAAACTGGTACTGCAACTTCCAATATCAAATACGATATCCCCGTGAGCACTAGTTCTCCTTCTATTCATCTTACTTCTTAAAAAGGATTAAACAAAGGGTCTAACAGCAACGTCAACCTTCTCGATGAATTTTAACAAAAAGAACCACCTTCTGCTTCTCCTCAATTAACTCAATCAACTGATTCTTCAAGCGAAGGCGAGAATGAAGAGCATGTTGAAATGGATATTCAAGTCACTGATGACCAGGGTTAAGAAAAGCCATAAAACTCTTCGCCCATAACTCCTCAACAAGATGATACTCAAATGGTCGAAGAGGATGAACATTTGTTCAATCTTGACACAGAAGTGCAAACTGAAAAAGATACTAAAAAAGAGGAGTCTAAACCAAACGTTGCTAGCGATCAGCCTTTCGGAACCATAAAAAATTTCAAAGCTCATTCAGATTCCACTACAACTTCCCTTTCTTAAGAAGAATTGGATGATCTAAAGGCCACCAATGCTGCTGGATATTTGAAGGTAATCATAAATGCAAGGGCCAGTTCCTCTGAGAAAGGCACCAATTCTTCGATTGTTTCTAGAAGTCAATCTTCTGCACCACCTGCTGATCAACTCCTTTAATAGATTAAGGAGAAAGCCTTCGATGTTGATCTACTTGAATTATTGGAAAACAACACTCATGCTTATTATAGTATTAAGGAGTTGGTGAAACAAGTGGACATCTTGAATATTTCTCCAGAGGCTTCAGACTTCATTGTTGACCTTGGATTTCTTCTAGATCAAGTCATTGCAGATCTTATGTATAAGCAAGAAGTTTCAAACAAGATTAGCAGTAAATTGGAAACCCAAGTAGCAGAGTGGGACGGAACCACTAAATCCAACAAAAAATTTGAGGCGTTGGAGAAATCTCTTTTGCATAACAAGAAGGAATTTGAAGATTGTGCTGCCAACATCTCCTCTTGGGAAGAGCAAATCAAAGCATTACAAACGAAGACTCAAAAAGCAAAAGCTCGGCAAAAGAAAATCAAAAATCTTGATCGAAAATATCTTGATGAGGAGATCAAGGTGGAGCTTGAATCCCTTACTCTGAACCATTCCATGATCGAACAACGTATATCAGTGTCTGCTGGGAAGTACAAACGAATGAAGGCTTCACTTCCCGTTGACTTTGATAATTAGTGTAATATTATGGCACTTTTAACTTCTCTTTATAATTTTAAAGTATTTTGAAATTTGTAATGAACAACTAATCCATTTTTTTCAATCTTTATATTACCATGCTTAGCTTTTTATTTTTCATTTCAATTATTCTTCTGATATTTTAACTTCCTAAAGTATTGGTTTATATTTTTTCAAATGCTTACCATTTACTCTCAGGAGTCCTTGATCTTATGCTAGTTCTTATATCTCAAAGGAATTGTTTGAAAAGACTTGAATTACTTGGAATGGGCCTTTCCAATTTGGGGACCATTTACCCAAAGTTCTATCTTTTTGATCCATGGGTAGGATCACTTTTCACACCAAATCTCCAATCAAAAAAGATTTGAATTTTACCTTTTTGTTATAATCCCTCTCTACTCTGTTCTTCTGACTTAATAATTCTAAAGCATTCAATCTTTCTCTGTCCAAGTCAACCAATTCATCCAGAATCATGTTCCAATAGGACTCTGATGGGATCTCATATTGTCTATGTACTCTGGTTTATTAGAGGCAGATCTCGACTGGTAATAATACATCATGCTCGTATGTTAATCGAAAGGGTGTAGTGTTGGTATCTTCTTTTGGAGATGTTCTACAAGCCCAAAGAATTTGATCCAGGGTTTTATGCCATTTATTTGACTTTTTCCCCATATGTTTCTTTATTAATCAAATCACTATTTTGTTTGTCGCTTCGACTTGTCCATTTTTCTGAGCATAATAGGGTGTGGATGTTAATAGTTTAATCCCTACTTTTTTCGCAAATTCTTGCATCTTTTGACCAGTGAACACTAATCCTTTATCATTTGTAATGGTCTCAGGGATTCCAAATCTGTAAATTATGTGTCGTTGGATAAATTTGATCACATCTTCTGGATCGACATTCGCAAGAGGAATAGCTTCAATCCATTTAGTAAAGTAATAAATTCCTACTAGAATGTATCTCTGACCTTTAAAAGATGTTGGTCGAACTTCACCAACCAAGTCTAAAGCCCAACCTCTGAAGGGCCAAGGTTTGATTATTGAGTGTAGTTCGCTTGCAGGAACATGTTGAATACCTGCATGTACATGGAACTCTTGGCACCCTTTATCTAATTCAATACAATCTTCCGACATTGTTGGACAATACATGCCTTCTCAAAACAAAAGCCATTTCATCTTGTGACCAACCTGGTGAGCCCTACATGCCCCACTATGGACATTCGACAGGGCCAAATATGCCTCACTTTCGCTAAGGCACTTGAGTAAAATCCCTTCAGGTGTCTTCTTAAATAATTTTTCCCCATAAGAGTATAACTTAAAGCACGATACTTAATTTTTCTCTCTGTAGATGTTGTAGGATTCTCTAAATAGTCGACTAGTGGCTTTCTCCAAACTGCATCTGTTAAGTTATCAATGGAAAAAATTTCAAAATTTTCTTCATGTGAATATCCTAACTTAGTCACCTATAAGTATGATTAGGAAAACTTAGTTGCCAATACTCTTCCTCGAACTTCAACTAGATCTTCTAACTTCTCTTTCAACACCTTATACTTAGATACTACTTGAGCGAAATTGTTGCCCTCCTAGTTTTTGAGTCGAGGAATGTGCTTGGTGTCTATATACTCAAACCTTTGTATTAATCTATTTGCTATGATGAAGTACACAATCAAGTTTTCTTTGAAGCATTTGCATTCCTTAGTCATTTGCTTGATAACTAGTTCAGAGTCCCCTCTTATTTCGACTCTGGTTGCCCCCAATTTCAATAAGATTTCAAGGCCAACTGTTAAAGCCTCGTATTCAGGTTCGTTATTCGATCAAGCACCATCAATATTATACTTGAATTTTGTTGGAATTTTATCAGGAGAAATAATTAACACTCCAATCCTAGTTCCTTCTTTATGAGTAGAACCATCAAAGTACAACCTCCAAGGTTCGAGCTCAACGAAGTCTTAAAGAGCTTCGATCATGGCGTGATCGACTATGAAGTCTGCCACTACTTGCTCCTTCATAGCTTTTAAGGGCATGTAAGTATTGTACCCCAAAATTTGCCATCTTCATTGTGATCCTAATTGGTTTATATTTCCTTACCATGTGCATGCATACATTTCATAAGATCAAGGTGTTGCAACTGGTTTTAAATACAGAGTCACCACCATTAATTTTTATCCTAAGGAAGGGAATATAAATGAATAACCCTAAAAGTTAGAGATTCTAGGTTTTTTTACTCGGTTCTAGATGAAGGGAATGTGTTAGAAACCCCTATCTACCTTGTACACAAGGATACTAGGCTTAGAAGCACGGTGTTTAGGAAATAGGGTTTTATTATTTATTAGGGAAACTCACCATGATTTTAATTGTATACCTACGTATCTTCTTAGGAGGAATCAGAGTCCCCTTTCGTAGTTTGCGGTTGGTTGGTGTTTTTTATGGATTGCGTAGAATTGATTATGAATTATCCTTGAACCTTGTTTGGATTGTAAGTTGAGTAATCGTAGACGCAATTCGCAGTTAATTTGAAAATAATTCTCTTCAGTCCTTTTTCGAAAATGATCGTGGATTTTTATTAGGTTAGTAGAAAAATAATTTGAATTATTGGTTATCTATTTTAAGTTTGATTGATCGAGTATGGTCGGATACAGACCAGGAGAGTCTGATATAGTCTCATCATCACGTGGTCGGATATTGGTCACGTGTCATTCGTGGATGGAATATTTGATGAATTGTGCGAGTTTTAATATATTTATAGAATATTGAATTAATTAATTGAAACACTTCAAAAAAGAATAAAACGTGTGTTAGTGAAATCTATCTACTAGAATATAAATAAATAAATAAAATACATGAATAAGTTAAAATCTAACTAAAATAATAAGAAAAAAATAAACTAAGAACAAAAATAAAAAGTAGCAGAATGTACCGTCTCCTATTAATATTCCATTTTTAATTTTTCTTTACACAAAACAATAATAGTTAATGATTATATTAATCACCTTATTTTAACTTTTTCTTCAAAATTAAAATGCCCAACCACAGTATGACACATGGATTTATTGTTATAATAATAAAACACAACTAATATATGTTACAACCCACATAAAATGCATCAGATTTCTCTTCTCTCTCATTATGTTGCAAACTCATAACAAGAAAAACCCTTTTTTCTAAATCGATTTCCTCTATCTCAATCAACCCAAATCATTCTCCATTTAATTAGAAGGAAAAAAAGTTGAAACAATACGGTTTGAAGCACGAATCGAAAAGAGAAAAAAATAGTATCGTCGAGGTGGCAACATCGATTTGGATTGTGCCTCCGGTGAGTTTAAAACTGTTGAGTTTGATAGCTTTGTGGTGGTAATTCTTGTGTGTAGTTGATGACGGTGCAATTGGAAGACCGGAGTGGTTCGTCGGTGATTTCTGGGAGATGCAGAATCGGAGTCGTGGGCAGAGGGAGGTGTCGCCAGTGGTTTTTCACTTCTTATGTTTGCGTTTTTTGTTTGGTCTGGATGAGAGTAAGTGATGTTGTTGAGTAGGGACTGCATCAGATCTTTCGGTTTCTATTCTTTTTTCAATTTTTTTCTATGGACTTGCTACTGTTCTCTGAAAAAAATAAAACAACTCTGTACAAAGATTGCTATTATTTTGTTAGTAGGAACCAATTTTATTTACAATTGAAAAAGTGTTGGCTAGATTTGAAACAAGGTTATGAGGTTTATGGAAATTTTGCAGGTAAAATTTGGAATTAGTTTTGCCCATGGTGGAGGGATAGAAATATTGATGAATTGGAAGGTAGTTTCAATGTGGTGAAAAGTGGGAGTTGTGTAGTTTGTATTTTTTTTATGGAAAAAGCAATCCTACACGTGAGAGAAAAATAAAATAATAAAAAAAAACATTTGATAATGATCAAGAATAAGAATAAAAAAAAAGCATTTGATAATGATCAAGAATAATCAAGAATACTACACGTGGGAATTGGAAGGTGGTTTCAATGTTTTTATATTTTTTTCAATAATAATCAAGAACAAAATAAGTATTTGATAATGAAAAATATAAAATAAAATACATAAATTTAAAGAGACAACTATTAGAGTATCATTATATGGTTTTAAAAAAACAAACAGACAAGTTAAAATTGAAAATAAATGGGAGGAGCCTCAAATTAAATCATCGGCCAAAACAAAAAAAAATTATAAAAAACCCCAAGTAGTTTAGAAAAAAGAAATTGCAATTGTAATGATAAAAGTGAATGAGTGACAAATTGTAAGAATGTGAGAAATTGTGGATTAACTCTGGATGGAAAAAAAAGAAATTGCAATCGTAATGATGAAAGTGAATGAGTGACAAATTGTAAGAATGTGAGAAATTATGGATTAACTTTGGATGGAAAATTAGGACAAACTAAGGTCTTATTTATAGGCTTAGGATTAGGTTAAGAATGCTTAGCAATTAAGTTAGCCTAAAATGTATAAAAAGGCCAAGCCCGATTTCCAAAAAATGAAAGAAAATTAGTAACAAAAATAAATTTTAAAAAAATGTTAAAAGTGCTCCACAAGAAATTTGAACCAGCAACCTTATGCTTGCAAGCTTCATTCTTTACCAATTGTACTATGTTACTCATTTTTAAATAAACTCAATTGAAAGTATATGAAATATGTGCAAATATTTATTTATTCAAAAATACAAATGATCTGAAATAAATAATTATATTTTTAAATAGGTTTGGAAGCGAATATTTATTATAAAAACTATGTTTAAAATATTTTTAACTGTAGAAATAAAGGGTGGGAAAATTTAGGATATGACACAAGGTATTTCTCCGAAGAAAAGAAGCTCTGAGGATTTTATCTTTTGAAGTTGTTAAATTGATTCAACTGTCGATTCATTGTTTTGTAGATATTCAAAAATTTGTAACTCCGATTTGGTTCATCATCTCAAGTTGGCTTCTATATCAAAAGAATCGTCTTGATGTGTATTCAATTTCATATGTTTGGACCGGAAGCCAGTTCTACTAAAAAAGTTCCCGAATATATGGATTTATCAAGTATGTTCGCACAGGAAAATTATGATAGATGTTCACCCATTTCATATTTAAAAAATCATAACTCGATCGATTTTTATCATATTAAGCTGGTTCTGGTGGCCTTAGTTCATAAATTGAGTTGGCTAAATATCAGTTTCAGTTTACTGATTCAAATGGTATCCTGAAGGTCTTCGTTTTTTGTCTAAACCATGCGCAACGCATTGAAAATCCTGAACCGAGAAATATTTTCATTTGAGACGAAACTTCAAAAAAAACATAACTAAATCACTGTTTATTAGATTGAACCCATTTTTTCGGCAATGCGTCACAAAATTTATTATCTTTATTTTCCATTTGACGGCTAAATCGAGATTCCGTAGGAATGATGACGTGGCACTTTATGATCGTGTCAGACTTATATTTTCAAGTTAAGGCCCAATCCAATTGCACATCCAAGGCCCAATTTGCTCACACCATTTAATCTCAAATCTGATTTTTGTTCGAGGAGGTTCTCATAATTCATAAAATTCTTACAAACACTATAATCTTTTCTTTCAAGTCTCTTAAAGATCAAATCAAGGTTCTACACTTTTTTGATCAAGAACACAACAACTTCATCAAGATCCAAAAGTCAAGATCAAGAGCAATTCTTCTCCGATTGTTAATCTGTTCATTGAGATCTTTATGCCTAATCTCCCTCTTCACTTCTATCTATGAGTTTTCTTGAATTAAGCACTTTTGAAATAAGTGACTATTTAAGAAGCACTTTTTAATCAAGCATGAATTGAATCTAGGTTAAATTTTGAATTAAGAATTTAGATCTAGTACTAGAATTGTGATTTAATTTGATCATCATGTGTAAATCCGGAATTATATAGTTGAATTAAGTACTTATTGAGTTAAGTTGATTCTCATGAAAGTGCTTAATTGATGAAGCAAATTGATGACGTTGCATGAAGTTTAATTGTTGATCCTTAATCCATCATGTGTAGTTTGAATCTAGACTTTGAATTATGCAAAATCATGTGTTTGATGTGTGAAGATTTTGTGTTTGATCAACTGCCTAAGCCATGAAAGTGCTCAAAAATATGTTAAAACTGCCTCTGGCACGAGGGTAACCAGTCTTCCAGTTATGGTAACCGGTTACCACCCTTTCCAGTAACTAAATTTTAAAAATCTGCATGCGGTAACCATTTATCCAGTTATGGTAACCAGTTACCCTAAAGTCAGTAGCGTTTTCCCTCTGTTTTGGCTTAAGGTAATCGGTTGCCCAGTTATGGTAATCGGTTACCCCAAAGTCAGTAACAAATTACCAAATTTTCAAATTTTGGTAACCGGTTACCCAGTTATGGTAACCCGTTACCCATACAAAAACATCAAATTTTGCTTTGTTTTATTGCATGTTTGCACACATTTCCTTGTTAATTCTAACTCCTTTTGTGAATACTTTGCAAGGTACATTGTTAGGCCTTCAACCTTTAATTAGCACATGATTATTGGTTGAAAGGAACCTTATACGATCACTTGTTAATATTGGCGTACGATGCACAAGAATATTTTGTTCTTGTATAAACCTTATTTTTGTGCAGGTACCCTGGCATCACACAGATGTGTTCGAGGCACATTCCACCGTGTGATTATTATTTCATATATTGTATGGATTGTATTTCGTGCAGGTAACCTGGCATCACACATATGTGTATGCTGCATATTCCACCGTGTGATTGTTATTTGCGTATATTATATGAATTATGCTTCGTGCAAGTGTATTTTTTTTATATTTGGATGTGTCTGCTATGCATTATGATCTTGATTTGTTAATGCTTTGACACTTATGCCGATGATATTTTCTTTGTTGATGATAGCATCTCATGAAGTTTTCCGGGTTTCTTTGTTATTGCTTAGCATCTACGGATTGTTATCTGTTTGGTACATTTCCTTTCTATTTTCTTTTTGCATATTATTGCTTCCTAGAGATCATGTCAAGTAGGGATTTTATCGTTTTCCTTTCCATGAGAAGTAGGAATAGAGATGCATGACGGGGATTTTCGTTGTTGATCATGTCAGAAATCCCTCTGGTTTATTTAAAGACTCGTTTAGGGTAATTTTGAATTATGTGCATTTTGTGTGCTACTTGTGTTTGTTTAAAACCCTACCTTTGAAGTAGGTATTCTGCAGGTGTGTTTACATTTTATGCTCGCATATACTACAAATGAAAAGTCCTCAAAAGGAGGTGAACGGAAAGGGTTAGTAGCCAACCCCCGTACATTCTAGTTTGTGTCATCCTTAGCTCTCGTTGTACATTGATGCTTTGGTATGCCGATCTTTTGTATTGAGTCAGCCATGTGGAAAAGGGTTTTGTCCTAACACCCACAATTTGTCATGAATTCGCAATGGCCAATGGTGACATTCCGCTACCCGCTTGTTTGCTTTGGGTGATCCACTCCCCTTAGCTAAAGCATTTCTCTTCTTTTCTTATTTCATCCAAATCCCGCTTGTTTGCTTCGGGTGATCCGCTCCCCTTAGCTAAAGCATTTCTATTCTTTTGCGCTCATACCAATCCCTCTTGTTTGCTTCAGGTGATCCTCTCCCCTTAGCTAAAGCATTTCTCTTGATTTTTCCTTTACCTAGCTCGATTCTTGATATCTTGGTTAAACCATTTTGCTTGAGCTAGTGTGCACTACTCCCTCCATGTATGTGCTCCCTTTGTTCAAGTTTTCTACTTTAAGACGCATTACTCTCGCCATGTATGCACTCTCCTTTGCTTGTTTGGGATACACTACTCTCTCCATGTACGTGCTTCCTTTGCTTGCTTGCTTTGTATATACCATGCTCCATTAGGACGTGCTTTTTTCTTTCCCGATTTGAGCTAGAACTTAGGATAGTAATCCATACATGCTAACATAGATATACATTTCCCCTTTATCCTTGACACAGGGCCATCATTGTATGATAACCTTATGGAATATATTCTAGATAGTCTCTCTTAGATGTTTTATTTCTTTTTGAATCCTTGCATTTAAAACTAAAACTTTATTTTTCCTTAAACTAAAAAAAAACTCTCTAACAACTTAAACCCTTTCTTACGATAAAAAACACTAACCAACTCCTTTTCTTTTTGCCAACCGGCTTTCCTCTTCTAAGAGCATGTCAGTTTCTTTCCACTATAGGTCGTAAGTCTCCAAAGGTCGAGCAGCGGTGGAATGATTGAATTTAACATTATTCAACTAAAAAACACAAATCTATCCAAACAAGTGAGTCGAACTACGACTGCTCTGATTCCTTAAAAGGGATACGTAGGTGGAGGATTTTTGTAGGGCCTAATCGAGCATATCTTTGTAAAAATATATTTCTTTTCCCCACACTTTATTTTCCATTTCTTTAGCATGCATTCTTCCTTAGTAGTAAGCAATAGACATAGATTAGACACACCCATAAGATAAATAATAAGAGTGGATACCATAGAGTTCTATGGGCGTGTGGGGTACTAATACCTTCCCCTCGCGTAACAGACTCCCTTAGCCAATATCTCGGTCGCAAGACCGTGACTTCTTCCTTCTCAGGTTTTCTCGATGTTCACCTTTCCCTTCATGTGGGATAAAATAGGTTTGATGGCGACTTTATTGTTTGATGATTTTCATCCGGTTGTTTCAGCTGGCGACTTCACTATGGAATAGGTCGACCAAATGTTGGTCCATCGCAGAGTCGTTCCTAACTCTTGTTTTCTTTTATTTAGGTGTTTATTTCATATGCTTTACAGATTTGCTTATTTCATACCTGTTTACCTGAGCATATATGTGCATTGCATTTACTGTTTTCCATATATTGGTGTTGTGTGGTCTCTATTTCATGATGGGTGGGTGTTACAAGAGCTAAAAGGCCCAATACCTAGGCCAAGTGACAAACAACAAGAACACTAGGAATAGAGTGGAACACGATGAATATGAGATGTAGATTACCCTAGACGTCCGTGTCTTCCATGCTCATATGAGGTTTTAATGAGGTGGCATCATTATCACGTGGGTGTACGATGATAGTACTCTCAAGCGAACCCGTGATTCTGGGTTACCATTGACGTTACCTTGACCTAGTCTTGACCCATGAGTGGGGCAAGAATATTTCTTACAGATACATATAGTGACTATATGTTCTTATGGTGAGTATATCTTCTGGATTTATGATCTAGTGACCATGTGGTTCTTCTGATTATGTTCGGAACCTTTGATCTTATGATATTCAGACTTGGTTTCTTGGTACTTTGAATTGGTGTCAAACCTTCAATCCTGTGATATTCAGATTATTCGGCAGATTATATAGTTGTTATGCTGAACTCTTGAACCTATGGTGTTGCATTGCATCAAACATTTTAAGAGTTTATTTCTCTTATCATCCAAGCATTTTCATGCATTTCATTCATTTCAACCTGGATTCTTATGCAGAATCTCAAGACCGCAAGATTGACTTCCCGACATCATCGTCATCATGGATCAACTTCAGCCATATATAGTTGAGATGGGAATGTGTATGGAGACTCAGATGAGCTAATTCATGCAGCTTATTCAGAACCTCGCCCTTGGACGAGAAGAGTTGAGACAAAATGTTCAGAGGGTCGCAGTTGCTACTGTTGATCACGTTATTCCACCAGGTGTTAAACTTAACCAAATGGAGGTTCCTTTGAATCAGAATGTCAAGAATACCGTTCAGAACCCTGTCAACGGAGCTCCTCACCATGATAATATTTCTGAGTCGTCATATGACACCTTCAGGTTCCCGATTGATGGAACTAAGTCTGAGAAAAAGCTTCACCTCTTGGAGGAGAGGATGAAAGCTATTGAGGGTCGTAACTCCCTTGGATTAGATGCTGCTAGTTTGTGCTTGGTGCCTAGTATCAAGATTCCTGTCAAGTTCAAAGTCCCCATTTTTGAGAAGTATAAGGGTACCACTTGTCCATTGACTCATGTCAAGGCCTATTGCAACAAAATGGCTCTTTATGAGGAAAATGACAAGCTTCTAATGTACTTATTTCAGGATAGCCTCAGTAGAGCATCTCTTGAGTGGTATACTTAGCTTGAAAGAACTAACATCCAAACTTGGAAGGAATTAGCTGAATCTTTTTACAAGTAATACAGTTACAAGAGTAACATGGCTCCTACCAGAATTCAACTCCAAGATTTGACTCAGAAGGTTGATGAGTCATTCAAACAGTATGCACAAAGATGGAGAGAACTAGCTTCCAGAGTTCAACCTCCTCTTTTAGAGCGAGAACTTGTTGATATGTTCTTAGATACTCTGCAAGGTCCTTATCTGACGGCTGGATGTGCTTTCGAATTTTCAAAAATGATTATGATAGGAGAACAAATTGAGAACGGTCTTAAGAATGGTAACATCCAGGATGTTGCTACTACTTTTAAACTCCCAGATCAGGACGACAAAGAAACTAGTGCAGTCTCCGAGGACGAAGAAGCTCATGCTTATCCTTAATTCCAGATTCCTTGTAAGGTGACGGAAGCTACTTCTACCCAGGAAGATCTATAGATTTGTGTTGTAATTGTTAACCAACCAGCAGTTCAACCTATTCAGTATGCTCCTCAGCAATAAACCTATCGACGGAGACGTATGCAACAGGGTAAGCAAAGGGACAGGAAGCTAAAAAGAGTGTTCAACATTGTTCCTATGACTTATGGCCAGTTGTTCCCTAAGTTGCTCAAGCTTTCCTTGATGGAACCCAAGTCATTGAAGCATATCATTCCTCCTTATTCTATGTTTTGTGTGACATGTTGATAAATTTGCAGGTTTTGAAGACCTTGAAGAAATAGAGATGAGATTGGATATAGAGAAGAAAGAGTAAAGAGACGAGGTTGAATATATATATATATATATATATATATATATATATATATATATATATATATATATATATATATATATATATATATATATATATATATAACTCAATAATTTTTTTATAAAAAATCAAGTCAATCCAAACTGCATTCGTTTGGTTTGGTTTGATTCGATTTTATTTTTAAAATCTAATTGAATCAAACCGAACCGCATAATTTTTTTCTTGCGGTTCAGATGATTTTTTACGTTAAAACCATTCAAACTGCACCGCAAACACCCCTACTTACCAACATGGATTACCACCTATCACGATTAGAGTTTGTGGTGTACAAAACTGAATTGATCCAATAGAAAACCGCTAATTGAACCAAACTAAACTGAAACCGTAGAAAATCGCATTTGGTTATGATGTACTTGGGTTATTTTTTAACAAAACCGCACAGTTCAGTTTGCAATTTGTATTTTATAAACCGAACCAAAATAAACCGCATTATGTTACAACTCAAATTTCACGCAACCCACATCCAACCCAAACCTAAACATGTTATGCTTTAAACTTGCGATTACGAATGATTTTCTCTTCCACGCATTTAAGGTTTCAGTTTAAGTCTTCTCAAATCTCTTCTAGCGGTATTGTGACTTTTTCTCATCTTATTTTCCATGTATGTCTCACTCTTTTTCTCTAATCTCTCATCTCTTATGTTCTTTCTTTTTCATCTTATTTTTATTCTACCGTTCTTTCTTCTAATTACGTTTTTATTGCACCTATTTTTCTCTAATCTCTCATTTTTTTCTCTTTCTTTTTCATCTTCTTTAATCTTTCATCTCCTCCGTTTTTTCGTTTCATTATAATGTTTTTTATATTGTTTTATGCTACTATATTTTTTATTTCACTTTCCTCTAATTTACTTTTTGTATATAAATGGATAGTTGTCGTTCAAATATGATAAATTTGTTGTTATTTCATAACGAATAAATAACTAAATACAAAATTACGTTGTCATCTATATGTATGTATGACTCAATAATTTTTTTTAATAAAAAACCGAACCAACTCAAATTTCATTGATTTGATTTGGTTTGATTTAATTTTATTTCTATAAGTCAATCGAACTGCACATTTTTTCTCTTATAATTCGAATAATTTTTTACGTTAAAACCGCTCAAACCGTACCGCAAACACCTACCATTAGAGTTACCATACCAGTCCATTTTTTAGGTCATTACCTAGTAGTATTAATGGTTACTCACTTCCTTCTAACCTAATCAGTAAGGAATCAATAAATGCAACGAAAAAGTGAGGAATGGAAATTAGTAAAGGTATACACGAAAAATAAATCACCTGTCCAATGAGTGTTAGTTTTAGGTAATTCAACCAACTTGGCATTTATGAGACCATCACCCCACCATAAAACTCCATGTTCCACAGACAGAGTGTGTAACAACATATAGACAGTGTTTGTAGATAACAACAACAACAACAAAAACCATCACATTAATCCTACAATGAACAACAATATTGGCATGGAAGTTGAGGAGACTGTAAGAGAGTTGAGTCAATACTTCAAAACAGGAAAAACAAAAAGTGTTGCATGGAGAAAAAACCAGCTCCAAGCTGTACTTGACCTTGTTCATGAAAATGAAGATGCTATATCTGAAGCTCTTTACCAAGATCTCGGGAAGCACCCTGTTGAAGCTTACCGTGATGAGGTAATCTGTCTAAATTTTTATCATGTGTTTTTGTTAAAATTGTGTCACTGAGTTCTTGAGAAATTGGTTACTTTTGCAGATTGGAGGAGTAGAAAAATCAGCACAAAACTCTTTGATCAGTGTTGAAAAATGGATGGCTCCTAAAAAAGTAGGTTCTTCTATTTCCTCATGTCATGATACACAACTCAATATATATTAACTTATTATTTTACATGTTGGTGCTGATAATAATGCAGAGCAGTATGCCTCTTCTTTTCTTCCCATCAAAAGGAGAGTTATTGCCAGAACCACTCGGCGTGGTTCTTATTTTTTCATCATGGAACTTTCCGATCGGTGAGTCACGAAATATTGTTCTAGAATGCTTTGATTATTGTCATAGTATGGTGTTTTAACATATATTGTATGCAGTGTTGGCATTGGATCCAATAATTGGAGCAATATCTGCTGGAAATGTTGTTCTGATAAAACCATCGGAGCAAGCTCCAGCATGCTCTTCTTTTCTTGCGAATACTCTTCCTCGCTACTTGGACACTAATGCTGTAAAGGTCGTCGAGGGTGGAGGAGATGTCTGTGAAAAACTTCTGCAACATAAATTTGACAAAATATTCTTCACTGGTATTATTCTTCATAATAACAACCAAATTCGGATTTTCTATTGTCAACAATCTCAAACATTGATGCGGTCACCACATTAGTAGTAGTTGGAGTAGTATCCAACAGTTTAAATCCACGGTCTGATTTCAATCCAACGACCACCAATATACTGACTGCACGAGTGTTTGGGATTGATAACTGAAGGCAATCCGAGTTCATATTCTTTACGGTTTGATGGATTTTTTTTGCTTATAATCTCATTTTACAATCTGAACTCTTGTTCTAGAATTATCTCTTACATGGTGTGGAATTTCCAGGAAGTCCAAGAGTGGCAAGGATAGTTATGACTTCTGCTGCAAAAAATTTAACTCCTGTGACTCTAGAGCTAGGTGGAAAATGTCCAGCTATATTTGATTACCTTTCTAATCCTTCAGATTTTAAGGTAACTTGCATAACAGATACTACCACATGTTTAAAAAATTGTTGGCAACCGCAGCTGTGGTCGCATTGACAGTATTTGTTGATGATTTTTTGCAATACTAATGAGACATTGACAAATATGACGCTACTGTGGTTTAAAACTTTGATTATTTTGCATGTCACAGTAAAGAGTTTCTAGGTCTAATTTAGTTTGTTTTTTTTACCAAGATGGCAGTGAAAAGAATAGTAGGAGCAAAGTGGGGAATCTGTAGTGGACAAGCATGTATAGGAATCGATTATGTGCTTGTTGAGGAGAAGCACTCATCTGAATTGGTATATTCATCGTACATTATAAGCTATTATTTATTATGAAGTTTTAATTCTAATAGTAACTTTTTTTGGTTTTCTTCTAGATAGAACTATTAAAGAAGTTTGTGAGAAGATTGTATGGTGATAATATGATAGAGTCAAAGGTACTGTCAAGAATAGTGAACAAACAACACTTTCAGAGATTGTGCAATCTTCTTAAAGACCCTCTTGTTGCTGCTTCAATAGTTCATGGTGGTTCAGTTGATGAAGCAAACCTGTAAGAGTAGTCTGACTCTCTTCCTATGATCACTATCCACTAGTTTTCTTTTTTCACTATGACAATGAGATTCACAAAACTACACTGACATCGTTATTTGATCGAGGTTTCAATCAGTGTTTTCTGCTAAAATTACAGTGACACATGATTCAGTCAAACCCAGTGTCAATTCAAACATACACAAAATGCTATGAAGTGAATGGTAGTCGATTTAATTTAATTAATCAGTTACTTTCAAATTTATCAGGTTTATTGAGCCAACAATCTTACTAGATCCACCACTAGATGCTGAAATCATGACAGAAGAAATCTTTGGTCCATTTCTTCCAGTGATCACAGTGAGAATCAGCAATCCATATTCATATTCTCAATTCACACACATAATGTGACTATCTTTACGAGTTCTTAACTTGTCATGCATACAGGTGAACAAAATTCAGGAAAGTATTGAATTTATAAACTCAAAACCAAAACCTCTTGCCATCTATGCATTCACCAAAGATAAAACTTTCAAGAGAAAAATTGTATCAGAAACATCCTCAGGAAGTGTCACGTTTAATGACACACTTGTTCAAGTAATGATTTTCTTACCTCACTTTATTTTCATTTCTGAAGCAAAGATTAATGAAAAAGATGTCTATATACTATATAGTATATAGTATTCTCTCTCACCCCATTCTAAAATAGTGCCATTTTATTGTATGTGCAGTTTTTATGTGATACACTACCATTTGGAGGTGTTGGACAGAGTGGTATTGGTAGGTACCACGGGAAATACTCCTTTGACACATTCAGCCATGAAAAAGCTGTAATGCATAGATACCTTTGCCTTGAAATTGAACCAAGGTATCCTCCATGGAGTAAATTTAAGCTAGAATTTATCAGATTGGCATACAGGTTCAACTACTTTGGACTAGCACTACACATGTTGGGTTTGAAAAAACAGAACTAGAACCATTCTTCAACTACAATGCTTCTCTATCTCAAATATATGTTGATTTGAAATACATTAGAACTTGTTGTAATATGAACGTGTGATGAGACTTCTTTCACTGCAAGTCATGTTTAATTTTATGAGCTTCTCTTTGTTTTCCTATTGTGTAACATGAGATATAGTCACAAGTAATAAATGAATCTCACCAATTTGATAAATGGACTCTACTAACGAATCCTACTCATCTATCACCTACATGCATGTTACACCCTTCATCTAGAGTACTAATACCAAACATGTATGGACCATTCTGTTACATCATCCATGCGAGAAAGGGTGTAAAAATCAATTCTTTAGCACACCGCTACTTAGAGTAGGAAACAGTAAACCATTCTATCAATTTGAATGTGTGTGCACGCAAAAAGGCATGACATAAAATCATTAGAAAGAAAATCAATAAAAAGGAACATTTATCAGACATGCAAGTTAAACACAATAATGAGTTTGTTTCCTCATATTATAAAATAAAATGAGGGGTAATTCCAATTTACAGGAGTTAAGCGTTTAAAGGCATCCTAGTTTCTCAAAATGCCTTTCTCCACTTCATATTTTTCCCATTTGAAAGGATATTCCTCTATTCTAATTTTGTGAATTTGTTACCAGTTATTATACTTTATCATCATGGAACCACCACCTTGTCTCCTTGGGAGATCTGCCATTTCTACAGTTCTTTACATAGCGGTCATTATCTTCAGGGCGTTGCTGCAGAAGAAATCAAGACAGCTTTTAAGTAAATTGATATAGAAAATCAATGGATGATATATCACACCCAAAAGATGCACACACACGTGAGCGTGCCTGCGTGCGTGCTGAAATTATATGTAAAATAGATCCACACCTTTACAGTTGAGCTTGAAAGCATTGAGAGAATGCTGATGCATACAGAACTAACAGTCATAGCCGGGGACCATGAATCATACAATATATCTGCATAATTTCATAAAGCATATCAAATGTCAGCTCACCACCAAATCAATCATGTTTTTATTTTAGTCTGCATTCTCAAATATTATACAAAAAGAAATTAAATTTCAGTGATTTACTCTTACAAAATGAGAAATTTATCTGTTATGACAAGGTAACTATCCCATCATTAAATTACAAAACAGAACGGTTAAAGCAGAACTATTTCCTCCCGAGTAGAGACACAAGCTAATGGTTCTGAACTTCCTCCCCCACTATTAACCTCGGACAGAATTATTTTCAAAGCAAGATATTTCGTCCATGCTAGCATAAGAATATAAAGTGATTGATTTCACTCATCAATATCTAGACGAGAAGGGCTTAAATAAACAAAAGAAATAACACTAACAGCACACTCTTTACTTTCATTTCCACTTTCTGTTGGCACCCTTAATTCCATCGCACTTAATATTGAGAAAAATTAAATATAGAAACTCTGCATAAAAAATCAAGTAGCATTTGTCTGATAAGCAAACAAGAGAATAGAAAAGGGTTTTAAGATGAATCTTGACAAACCATGCAATATAACTCTAAGAGAAGCATACATATTTCATTAGAAAGATTCTTAAACATTTTAAAGTGTTAACTCCCAATGAATCCTCCAAGTAATAGATAGGAAGAAACAGATAAAACAAGAGAAGCAATTATAGGCCGAAACTCAGGAAAAGTTTTTATGATTTCTGGGGGCAAAGAATAATACACACAGCTGATCAAAACATAACTTGAGATACAGAAACTAAATCTGTGCATCAAAAAGCAAGTAGTTTAGGAAGTTGGGTTTATCATTCCCGCAATACACGAGGATATATCCAAATTTAGCAGCTACAAAAACGCTTTTATGACTAAGAATGTTTAAATATTTAGAAAGATGAAAACAATATTTTCAGGCATAGAAACATAGGAGATACTTATGGGAGACTCATCATGCAAGCTTTCATTTATTCCTCACGCATATCATATTATCAGAGCTTTCCTATCTCCTACTCAGTGTCAACATATTCAACAAACAGCAAGTCTTATCCCACCCACTAGGTTGGATTGGCAACGTGGATCAATCCAAAACATTGTATTCTATTATAAAAAATATTTTTTTAGTTAAACAATTGGCCTTCGTTTCTTAATAGTTTCATCTATAGCTTTTCTTAGGCTTCCTTTGCCTTTAGCAACTGAGCTATCTTCCATTTGATATACTTTCTTTACATTGAAATCTACAAGTCTCCTTCACATATGCCCAAACCACCTAAGTCTCCTTCACATATGCCCAAACCACCTAAGTCGAGATTAAACAATAGTTTTTTTTACAATAGGTGCTACCACAACCCTCCCTCTGATGCTCTCATTCTTAATCCTATCTCGTCTAGTATTTCATTTATCCAGCACAACATTTTCATCTCCGCTACACAGTTTTCTCTCGTGTTGGCCTTCACTACCCATTGCTCAACACTTTATCATATACAACATTGTCAGTCTTATAGATGTGCGGTAAAATTTTCCTTTTAGTTTGAGCAATATCTTTATATTCAAAGTCAACTTACATGCTTTTTCTAACAAAATTTTAGCAAGAAATAATAAACCTGAATGTGATGACGTGAAAGGAAACCGGGGAACATTCACCTGATGATAATAACATTAAAAAAAGTGGCAGAAAAGATAATACAAACAAACCACTAAACACTACCACATAAAGAAAACCTGCATTGAAAGCTGTGCTAGAAAACTCTCAAAAAAACATAAAAGGTAACAAAAAACCAAGGGAATATCTTATGAATTTGAGTAAATGTCAAAAATTTCACAGTACCTTGCCAAACTTGTGTGTCTATCTCTTTATATGCATAAAACTATACTTGGGATCATATTAAGTTTAATGATATTTAAAATGACAGAGATAAACTCAAATTTGTGAAAGATTGATCTCTAAGTCTAAGGATTTGTTCTCCCCTAAAACAAAGAGTAAACAGCATACCTAAACAAATATGCCCATTGCTATAGATATGTGGATGCATTGGAGCCGGATTCATAAATATGACCTGTGAATAAACCATCCATAACAAATGTCAAAGTAAAAATAGCCACAAAATGGTGAAACTGTAAAGAAAAACCTTAATCCAACGGCTTATTAAGCACCTGTGGAGCTTCCATTGGGTAATGTTCCGGGAAATCAACCTGAAGCTTGTAAGTCTCATTAGCATAAAGTGTCCCAGGAGCACCAACCACTTCAATAACCCACCTTTGAGAACCAAAATAACAAACCTCCAATTAATAAAAGAGAAATAACATTTCAACACACAATGTTAAGAGTCACACATCAGACAATATATAGCCTAAACATGTGTTTATAAGTGGAACCAATCCTCACCCTACAAGCCGGTTTTGTAGGATTGAGTTAAGTCAAACCACACATTCTTAACATGGTATCAGAGCCTCATTTAAGATCCGGTGGGCCACCCGCCATTTATTTCCACGCTCCAGATGTTCAGTTCTGGGCGTGAGGATTGTGTTAAGAGTCTCACATCAGACAACATATAGTCTCAACATATAGTCTAAACATGTGCTTATAAGTGGAGGTAATCCTCACCTTATAAGCCGGTTTTGTATGGTTAAGTTAGGCCAAATCACATGTTGTTAACACACAAAATTGACATCAATTTGGATGGTTAGCCTATTTCAAGTTCGTTGTTAATCATGTTCAGTGAATCGTTATCGAATATGGCAAAGTGATTGAACACAATTAACTGCAGTTTTGAGTATCGTTAACCACAATTGTCATACATTTAATTCAATTCAAATATACATACATACATATATCGATTAATCATACAAATTGTGTTCATGAAGTTCAAATTTGTGGTTAAATGTGTTTGATAGAGACCGTCTTATATTCATAACGATTCACGGAACATAACTAACCACATACTTAAATTGAAACTGCATAAACCATCCCATTTATCAAACCAACAACACCAACAAAGCTAATAAAAAACAAAACTTGAAAAGGGGAAAACAAACATAAACCCATTAGCACAAAACCCATTTCACCAATTTCAAAAATTAGGCTAAAACAAAGCACCACATCAATTGAATGCAAAAAGAATCAAAATTTGTGAGTGAATGAATGAATACCTTTGGAGATTATCACTGACTTTGTAGTTGAAACCAACAGGAGGACTAGCCTGCCATTCAGTGAGTTCTTTCTGAAGCCTATTGCAGGCAATCTTACTGAGATTCTGAACAACATCAATCCACACAAAACAAAACAATGAAAGAGTGAAAAAACAAAAGGAATAGATGAATTAGAAAATTGGAATGAAAAAGGAACAAACCTTGCGAGAGGAAGTTGAAGAGCTAGTCATGGTTTCAGAGAAGCGCAGCATTCGATTTTGACGGAAGAGAGAGAGAGAGAGAGTAACTGCAATGCAACTATGCTTTACTGCTTCTTTACCCTTACCCCTTTCTTTTTTAAATTATATCTATTCAACAATTTTATTATTATTATATTTTTATGAATTTATTCAATGATTCAATTAATATTTTATTTCAAAAATAATAATGAATAATATTTTTATTTTATTTTCAAGTAATATTTTTTAAAATAGCTCTTGATATTTTATTATTTTACATTTTAAATATGCTTTTTTAACAAAATATTAATTAAATGTTCTTATTATTTATATATATTTTACATAAAATACATTCGATAATGACAATTTTTAAAACAAAGAATGTCCTGGTGGAGTACTTTATTAAATCTATATTATTTATGTTGACCAATTATTCACAACTTGTACAATTATTTTGTATTTATTTGATAAAAGCACTCCTCTAATTTTTATATAAAAAACTATTTTTTAAATTTTTTAAATAAATAATATATTTGGTGGATATAATAATTTTAATATATTTATTATTCAATAAATTAAAAGATAATAACAAAGATTGAAAAAAATACTTAAATAAATGAACATTTACATAATATTATGGTTATTTTGAACAAAATT